TCAACCTGATTGTAAATTGCTCTGAATTTTTTTCCTGTAATTTGGAGCATCAGAAACAATCAGCCCACTAGATTTGGTGCAGAGGGTTTGAGCTCCTCAGTGGGCTGATTAAAGGGGAGGATGATTCACAAAACTGATGTGGTAATGCGGATTCCTTTTTTTTCGGTGATTATGATTTGCACCAAGATTAGAAAACAAAGGGATTGAAATATAAACTGATACCTTTACAAATGTGTTGGAACTACTACACCATAGAAGTCCGGCGGAATCTTTTACGCAGTTTTCAGACAGTTTTCGATAACATGTTAACAACAACAGGAGAATGTCCAGAGCATTCAGGTGAGGGGTGGCGCCTGTGTAAATGATGCAGGACGCAGGACATGACGTCTAATGGCGGCTGTGGAAATAACGTGTTTTCTTAACACTGAACGTCAAAAGCTCCCAAATCTCATTTTCCAAAGTTAATATCTTTGTCACCTGTTCCTAAAGCCTAAAATGTAACTGATATGTGTTTTTTTAAGTTTTGTGTCTGCCGCGTGCCTGAAACTTCATCAACACCCTAAATGAGAATTATCGTGCCGGATTCTCACATGGGCTCACTTGGGACATTACCAGATATTTTACGATGGCGCTTGCAGGAAAAGTCCCAGAAAATGCATCTGATTTGGACATTTGCCTTCCCTTCATAAACCCTTCTTGAAAATTTCAGGAAAATGTCCGCAGTTCAGTGATGATGATGCTGTTTCCACAGAAACATTTTTCAATGTGTGCTGTTCAAAAATGGAAACATCTGCTCCATATTATACACTTCGTATTTCTTTAAAAAAAAAACATTTTGACCTTGTTCTAAACTTTTCTAAAATGTTCCTACTTTATTATATCTATAGAAATGAATATTTTTTTTGTGCAGGAACACCTTTCACCGGGTAATAAGAGTTTTCCTTTTATTATAAGGAACCTTGAAATGTTCTTATTCGACTCTCTCTCTTGGTGTGTACGACGTTTTTCTGTGCACCCCCCCACCTCTCTCCTCACTTCCATTGACCGTTTCTACTCATTAAGTGTTCCTCCAATTTCACTGACGGTTTATGCGCTTGTCTCACTAATCAGAGTCTCCTGCTGTTTGGATGAGGTTTAACAGTGTGATGCAATATTGTTTCATAACACTAATCATTAAGTTCAATTGATTGGCACATTAATCAGCACAGTTAATTGAACAAACATATGAATGCTAATAAGTGTCTGATTTGACAGAAGTAGAAATCTGTTATTAAATCGTACATCATCATTACCCACAAACTACTGTACCCACGGCGTGAGTGTAAATATGTAACGTCTAGTATTTCTCAGATAGATGAAGTTCCTCATAATTAAGGTGTAAATGGAAAAGTATTAGGTAGAGTCAGTGATGAGAGCAAAGTTAATCTCCGAGAATAGGAAACAGGATTGAGTTGAAGGGTTGAAGAAGGTGTGAGTTTTTCTTTTTCTTTCGCCCTGCATCAGCACTCTCTCCCACTGGCTTTATTTAGGCAGTTAGCGACATCATTAGCAAGAGTCTCGGACAGTGTCTGACCTTTTCACCTCCCGGCAATCACACTCTGCATCATTTTCTGCAGAGTACCAAATTTGGTCAAGTCCCTGTGGTATTCTATAAGTTCATTAGTAAAGAGATGTGACAGCACAGCAAATGGCTTTTTCCAAGACGCTGGTGCTTAGAAGAAAATACTCTCATAGAATCCAATAGAAAGTGGCCCTCTGTGTTTGCTGATAACTTTTACGAGTTGTCAGCAAATAAATTAAGCAAACAGCCAATGACTGCAATGAACTTTGCAAAAACTGCAAGTGATTTTTATCCAGAGTTGTGTTTTATTAGTAACTATTTCCATGCTAACACCGGAGCTCCAGTGATAACAGTCCATCAGTTTGACACTTTGGTTTAAACTGAACTATCTTTTCATCATACATGAAATTTTGTAACTGGACATGATCCTCATATGTTAATCTTGGTGATTACCTGATTGTCACCATGACGTTGATTTTAGGAAGATTTTAACTTGAATTCCTCAATAACTGTTTGATGAATTTCCCAAAAAATGTAGGTACACACATGAAAGTCCCATCACAAGGTTATCATTTGGTATTTTTCAGCAATTTTCTGGACTTTTCATCAAGTGCTATCATCTGGTCAAAATTAAAATTTGTCAGGACTTTGTTTAGTTATTGAATTCCTGCAAAATCATGTGATATTCCAACTAGCGATAGTTGTACTTGTGTTTAGTTGTAATTATCAAATTACTGTATGCTAGCATGCTTGATAAAGATGGTAACCATAGAATGTAAATAAAGATGGGTCACACGTCGCCACTCTCTGTTAGCATTAAGCATGACGTCTTGTGTCGAGCAGCCTCACACAGCCAAGAGCATTCCTGGAGATCATGGCCTTGTTGCAGACGAGTTTAATAGGGTTTGTCCTTGTTTGAATGGTTTAAACATTCAGTATACATATATCCATATGTCACATTAGGTCCCCTGGGTCGTAAACAAAGCAACAACCTTATGCCCCAAGGTTGAACTGATTATCTCTCCTCTCCAAAGGGATGCTGCTCCGTAGTCGACTCCATGCCTTAAAAATAGCTGAATTAGTGCAAACACTGTCAGAATATGCAACTGCAGGTATTTGAATTATGGAACACAAGCAAGTCCTGTTGCCTGTACATAAATACAAGTCACGAAGAAGTATTTGGACTGTGACTAAAGCTCAAACTGTGGGTGTAGAGTTTAGAAGATGAAAAAAAGGACTTAATATTTAAAGCTGTATATGAAAAGTTATAACTGTAATGATAATCTAATAATAAACTGTATTTGAATAGCACCTTTAATACCATTTAATACCATAACTGCAGCTCAAAGCGCTTTACTAATAATAATATAAACAAGGTTGAAATAAACCAAAAAAGTAAAGCTTTACAAAAACGAATTAAAAGAAAAAAATACTAATTAAATATTGGCTTCAGCATCATATTTTTTAAAAAGACAAATAATGTGAAGCTTTTCTATATAGCTGAGACATTGATACTCGATTTATCCAAAATATAATTTGTAAGTACTCAGTTCTGTCATCTTACTATCAAATACTTGTAGTGTAAGTCATAATTACAATAACTGTGATTGAAACTGGCTCATTACATGTTACTTTTGTCTCCCATGAAAAGGAAAACTGCAGACTAAAGCAGACAAATGCACTCATCACCCACAATGTGTGAAAGGAGTGAATCAATCAGTCAGCATTAGCCCACACAATGGCCGACAGTCCATGTAATGCAGGCTATTTCTCCTGCAAATATGGACATTATCTTTCAAGGACAAAAAATATACTGGTGAGTTGAAGTCTGTGTGGCGGCTGGAGGACTTTCTCCACATCAGAATATTAAATTCTTGTCTTTTGAAGCACCTGATAAATGCCTGAGTGACAGTTTTCATTTCTTTTCACGTCGCCAAAGGAGTGTTAATGAGAGTGCTTGATTGATTGATTTATCCTATAGGACAATGTGCTGTAGTGAAGAGAATCATGCAATGAGCGAGAGAAGTAGCCACAAAAATATCCATTGTTTGTTGTCTGAGACTGTGTGTGTGTTTGCGTGTGCGTGTGTGTTCGTCCGTTTTCCATGTGACCCCCTCTCACAGTCTGTGCACAAAGATCTGGAGGATGTAGGTGTGTTCGTCGGTTCCATTTGGCTTTTCCATCGTCACGTTCCCTGGTCATGCATCCACTTCTCTGTATGAGAGTATCCCTGTCAGACGGTTGATTCTCAGCGCCGTGTGGCCAACATGACTCGGCTTATTTATGGCAACAAAACATTGTTCTCGTGCCAATGGAAAGGGCAGATGCTTTGAAAGGTGTAGGAGCTGTTATCAGCGAGAGCACATGAGAAGACAGACTTCTGGACAGTCAGGTGTAGACAGCAGGTAAACAGTATTTAGGGTAAAGACAGATCAGCTGTTTTATTCAGCTGTTGTCTGGAACCACACAGATATAAAGTACAGTATTTGCCGAAAAAAGTGTCTTGGCATAACCGCCAGGTGCTTTAATTAGAAACTGAATAATGAAAGAGAATGGACGAGTGAGCCGAAAGCGAGAAAAAAACTGACTGGTGGCCAGACTGAGGGGGAGAGAAATGTTTCTTAATCATAGCTTTGTGCCTTGGAGCATGGAAAGTTTTAATGAATGATTGAAAACCAATCATCAATGGTGGTACATTAATACTTCAGGATGCCAGATGACCTTTTCCTTTTGAACTGAGAGAAAAATGTCATTCCGGCTAAAATTGTACTGGATATTTTTTTTTCGTGTCTCGTGTTTTCCCCTCCTACACAGCCGCCCAATCCCTCAAGAGATTTCAATTAAATTGTCGTACTGAGTTCTTCACTTACTTTTCTTAATCTCTCTATGCTTGTGGCAAAGTGTGATTTTGTTTTCCCCCCTCCATGCCATTTCCAATTTAATAGAAGTGCATTTATGTTCGCCTGTGTTATGAATTAAAATGGAGTTTTTTATGGGCAGAGGTGCATGCGGCCATGGTTGAGCACCCCTTCATTCAAACTCCCTGTACCTTGAAGGTGAATAGTGCAGTGCCTATGTGAACTCCATAAATTGAGTTGTAAGAGTTCTCCTTTTGGTGTTGTTGAAGGTAAAGCTCCAGACTTGCCCTTGAGGAGGTGTTGGCTCCTGGTGAATTATAGATGCAGTCAGGGAGAATAAGTCAGATGACTCAGAAGGTTATATTTTCTCAGGAGACATAAGACTCTGTGTGATGAGTATTCTCTCGATGAGGAGAGCCGATATTGTGCCTATTTATAGATTTCAATGTACAAAAAAATCCAAATGAAACCTTGTGTGTTTGGAGCGACTGCCCTGTTAATGCTCTAAATACAACAAACATCTCTCATATTATTCAATCAAGAATGACAGAAAGGAAAAATTAAGTTGTGGTGTTTTTCAGATTTTAGAAGCTCTGATGAAGACAGTCCAGAGGTGTGTACTCGCTCACTGTACAACCAATCCTCCACAATAATTAGAGAACTGCCTACAACTCATCCAGGTATGGTGATGTACGATACGTATGATAAACAATGAAGGTTTTTGTCCCAATAAATGCTCATTTATGACGTCTTTACGTATGTTTCAAATGATGTAACCATCACTACCCTCATACTTATGCGTCTTTAACATTGGTATGGTTGTTTATCGATAGATCCACTAGTGGGCGGGGCAGAGTCGAGAGTTTGGCGACAGTGGAGGGCCTACTGAAGCAGAAGCGGCTGTTTGTCGCTTTGCCCCGGGGTAGTAAAATCAAAAGTTTTTTCTGTTTCATTAGAATCTGTAAGCTTTCAGAAGACATGCACAATAACAGATAACACAAAAGGATGAAATCTCTGTTTCCGTATACGATGAGCATAAATGAGCCTTAACACTTCTTTTGGACCATCCCAGCACTGTGTAACACAAGGCAATCACCCGCATCACCCCACTTCCCACCCCCACTCCATTCCTGGGACATTTGACATGATGAAAGACACAGACAGTTATGTAAAGCTAATGAGTGCCAGGCAGTGGACTGACAGAGCCCACGGGTGTTCTCAGCTGACCGTCTTTGTGTGTGCTGTGTGAATAGATGCGCACGTGCATCATTATTGTCCCAAATTAATCAGTGCATCTGTCGGTCTCGGGGCCTTTGCTGATGGCTCCTCATTCATGGTTGGTTAAACTAAGCTGGTCCGTCATTCTGTGCCTTCTAGTTGCATTCAACCTTGCTTCCATCACAAGTTGCCACCTTCTACATGAAGTGTTGTGGTATTAACGTGATTCAGTCATGCTTTGTTGCGATATTAGGGAATTGCTTACATGCTAGTTGATCCTTCGCTCAGCCCTGCCTTCCTTAAAGCAAAGCGCTTTTAACATTTGATAGAAATCGATGCAAGCAGGCTTCTTGTTTTTAATTTGCAAAATACCAGTGTTGTGGGCAGAAATTACACTTGGTGTTAGTTGAGTGAGTTGACTGTGATGGAGGGGTGGGTGAAGTGCTTGAGTCCACAAAACACTTCTGGAGTTTCAGGGGTAAATAGCGTCCAATACAAAATAAAACAGACAGACACTAAAGCCTCCATACTGCTCCTGTGATGTCATTCAAGTGCCTGGAAGCCCAACATTCAAATTCAACTCAGAATGGCGTCCTTTCTTGCACGTTTTATCCTAAATGTCTGCTGTGATTCTCCTCCAGAGCCGCATTCACCCAATGCTGTTTACCCCTGATACTCCAAAAGTGTTTTGTGGACTCAAACACTACACCCGCCCCTCCATTGGCATAGTGGTGAGTAGATAATGAGTGAATTTTCATTTTTGGGTGAACTATGCCTGAGTTGGTTGAAGACTCCCACTGGCTGATTTTTCTTTTTAGTTATTGTCACCAGCTGAGTCAAGACCACAGCGAAATGGGTGCTAAATATACTGGCTTCATATAACCTACTGTGGTATTTTGCTAATTGAGTGACATGTAATTATGACTAAAGACTGACGCTAAAGCTAAATGTCTGTCGGGGCAAAAATGTCAGCAGTTGAAATGTGAAAAGAAAAACCCTCTATTTTCTCTTACTACAGCTCCATGAGCACCACTTTAGCATGTGGAGAAATGCCTGACAGGCCTGGTGTGCCTGGTTACAGTTGGTGAGCTACAGACCATCACTGTTAATCACTTAAAAGGAAATCAAGTCACTGAAATACTTAATAGTAAGAACAAAGCCTGGCAAGGTCAATAAGTTTCTGTAAAACTGAGTATCATTGCCTAAAGGGCGAAGCAGCGAGGATGACTGTGATTCTCCAGAAAAAATCTGCAGGAGCATTTGAAATGTAAAAATAGATTGAGGTAATAATTCTCCCTCATTCTGCTGCGTAATGTCAGAGAAGCAGTTGAGAGGAAAAGAGCAGCATCTTCATTTTTCCTCTCTTGCAGATCTAAAGCACAGGCATCACTTGACGTGAGTTGTATCTTTGGGAAAGTGTTATTTTCCAGTGTCAGCATCTTTGATGGCCAGACAATTTTTAAAGCCCCACCATGTATCCACCACAAAATATGATTTTGTTTTGGCTACATTTGTTTTGCAAGCATTTCACGTTTTTTTCCCCGGCAATACTCCTCCTAAGTTGCATCGATTTGTCACAAGAGATATTAGCCTGTCATGACCCAGGTATATATTTTGTGGAAAGATTAACATTCCCCCCTAAGCTCTGAGTGCAGCTGCTACTTTCCCGAGTGCTTTATATTTTCTGGATGCTTTGCTTTAGAGTCAACAGCCAAAAGTCTTAAGCTTAATATTTCTGTCAATATTATGCAGTGACTCTTTCCATCATTCTCCTGTTTTATCTCTCTTTTTCTTCACACCTTTTACTCCATGTTTTCCTCTTCTATAACTGCTGCTTTTATTGGATGAGTATCAATCTCCATGGGATATATAGCAGCCTGAGGTTTTAGTGGGATGACCAAACCAGTATTGATATTGCACAGTTGTAAAATAAGACAGATTCACAATCTTATTAGCAAAAAGCAGATCTGACTTGGTTGGAGATGTGATTTGTGAATTGACAAGCATATATCACAAATGGCTCAGTTCGTCAGTTTGTGGGATTTTAGGATGTATGAACAGAGGAGTGGAGACGAGATGCATAAAATAACAGAGTGAAAGAAAGAAGTGATGCATGAAGAAATAAGCAGGAAAGTGAGAATGCGGAGCAAAGGTGGAGCTCAAAAGATCAAGATGTTGCATTGAAACTGCGGGGGAGCGTAGTGTCAACGCAGCAGAAGGCCAGTGGAGGGAAAATCATGTCAGGGAATATCGCGCTGTCACAAATTGCATCGCCAACTCCCAGCTGAGATTGATCCGCCAACCTTCTGTTACCCAACCTTTACACGCCCTTCGTTTTTTTTGGTACTTGCTCCCGATGCGGCTAGGACATTTCTCTGCTGTGTTTGTCACAAGCAGGTGACTGTGGTACCAGTGTGGGATCGCAGGTTCATGGCTGGGACTGGATGTGGCAGAAGAGGATTAGCGGCCCAGTGGAGGCAGAGAGCGGCCTCCCCGCTGCACAGAACCAGCTGGTCAGCAAGCCGGCCAGCCCAGCTCCATCTGTCAGTCACCCGCTCAACCCCTCGGGAGGCCTGATAAATCTCTCCACCTCCCATTGCTCTCAGAGATTATGTCATTCACTTTTGGTTGCAACACACATCATCAGTGATCAAGCCCTCATGGAAAAAATTTAATCTGCAGACTTTACAAACTGACTTTTTAACTTCAAATGTTTAAACCTCTCTGTGATATTCCCACTTAGTCTCTTCCATGTGGAATATGCTTGGGAGTAAAAAAGCCTCTTTACCTGTAAAGTGCTGAAAAGGTTGAGGGGAGAAGGTTGAAGCACAGAGCACTGGTGAATATTCTTCACTTCGTGAGATGAGATGTTTGTTTTTTTTGTTAAAGAAGGTGAAGACTTTTAAATCTAAGGTTTGCAACACATAATCAGCAGCAGCATCACTTGTTTGATCCGTCGTAGGTGTAGTGGATGAAAGTGTCGTGACTTGTGGCAGGGCTTGGATTTTATGGTTTGTTGATTTGCACAAAGTTTAGTTGAGTTTTAGCTTTAACTTTTAATGTGCTGCTATGGACTAGAGTTGGTTAAGTTCTTCTCCAATGTAAATATATCTGAATAGGTCGCTCTGGACATTTTCCAGAACCTTTCCTGCCAGCTACCAAGTAAAATGTCTGAACTCTTATCAGCCTGCGTGTGTGTATTTTCTAATAAGCGGCGGACATGAAACTGGTAAAAATAAAAAATATCTGGAAAAAACATGCTTTACGAGGATGGTCGCTGACGTCAACATGAAAAGACAACGAGATTAGAGAGTTTTGGGTGTCCAATGCCTGTTTTGATTTGGATGTGCTATAAACTAAAACATTGGATATCCACAGAGGAATTTATACATCACGTGTTGCCTCCTGCAAACCTACCCCTCGTCTGAATTTTTCATACATTTTCCTGTTGTTGTGAACACGTCTGACCCAGACGATCTCCTGCTGCGTTTTACATATGTGCAAGTTAAAACAATTATCATCAGGAGGCTTTGCTGCTCCAACCAAGCTTCACAGTAACCATCCCTCTGTGGTGTTTAGGCAGCTCCATGCAATTCCATCAAGCAGCTAGCTCCCCTGTGCAATACCAGGGGCAGCGAGTGTGTCAACAACAATGGTCCGCCGAAACAGTGAAGCAAGTTGTGATAGGCTAGAAGAAGATAAAAGGCTCCAGCACAGCTGCCGAAAAGACTTTATCATGTTTTAATCTGAGTTGGATCTCAATTCACATATTGTTACATTCTGCCAAGTGCACAGATACCTGATATCGCCATTTTCCAAGGGAACCATGCTCACTGCAAACCTTTCAGATAACAGTGCTCACACAGGAGCCAGTAGTTGATGATTAAGATGTAGAGGTTGTTGGGGTTCAGGAGAAAAGTGTGGTGTGATGAGGCCGTACAATTTGTGCTTCCCAGGGAACACATTCAAACCATAATCAAAGTTCTTGTAAATTTACATATGAAACATGCTTTGTTAACCTGTTCTCCATATTGTATTTAATGTTGTGTTGTTTCAGGAATCTTTCAGGACTTCTCAGGAAATGTTATTTTCCCAAGTTTTCAATCACCCCAGTTCTGTCACAGCATATGTTTCATATCTCATCTATACCCAAGTCAGGTACCAAAACAAAAGATCTTTTTCCTTTTTTCTTTCATTTCTCCCTCCCTATTCGAAACGATGCTGCATTTTGTTTTTAACTCCTGAATCCCTCTGACAGCTGCTGTGAGTTCCTGTCAAATAGTGTTGTTTCTATTTTTTTCATTTCCTAGTCTCAGTCACACTAACAAGGGGTGAATAAACAGGAGGTACCAGCAGTGGAAATACTTGGCCAGGAAATAATTCAGAATATGGCAAAGGTTAAACTTTAAGACACAATCTTTTAAATATTTTTGCCTTCATCTGATTTACAAGCAGAAGTAAATGTATAAAGCACAGCAAGAGTTGGAGTAGCATTTTTTGACAGTGGCGCTGTTTGACTCACCTTTGTGCTCGACACTGAAAGCTGCCATCTCTGCCCCAAAACACCAGACGTCAAATCATGCTCTCCTAAAAGTTTATAACGGCTGAGTGCTTATTGTTTCCATTTTAGCAGCAAACCAATTGTGTTTGATTGACTGTGACTATGATTGGCAGGAACTTGGCTCCATTGTCTGGCCACTCATGTTATCACATTTGAGAAGCGCGTCTAGCCTACGGCAGTACGAGCAAGGAGGGGATATTGGCTCCTGAGTATCAAGCCTCTTTCAGACAGGCAATTCCAGGGGAGCAATTGTCTGGTTTAATTGCTCCAAAAAAGAAAGACAGAGAGGCGGTGAAACTAGCAAGCTGTCAACAGAATCGGTAATTTACTGGCTCCGTGATAAAAACCGATTTCTATTTTTCTATTTTTTTTTCTCTCCCTGTGCTCTGGCTCTCTCTCTCACTCCCTCTTTTGCTGTTCCAGTTACTATAAAATATTCACAGGCAGGTTATTGGGCTGCTATATTTTGCACAGTGGGAGAGACGTACACTGATTTAATTAAGAAGCATTCTAAGCAAGGAACACACTTTTGCCAAAACTTCTCGGTCTTCTAAAATTGTTTTAGTCAATGTTTCAACGTCTATCTGGATCTGATTAAAAAAGACAAAAATTATAGACAGGGTTAGCCAGATATATTTATTCATTTTGATTAAATGTAGAAATTACTGAGGGATTAGCAAAATACTATTAAAGGAAATTATTTTAAGTAATCCTTAAAAACATCCTGGATCTGCACCTAAAACTAATTTGTTGCTTGGCATATTTCCTTTTTTCTACAACAATTCATCGAAATCCGTAAATTACCTCCTGAGACATCTATCCAATTATTCCACAAATCACTGTCTCCCCTCTCTCTTGCTTAGAATTTTTCTAGAAATGTTTCTCCTGTATTCTCACATGGGCTCACTCAGACATTTTTTAGGGGGATGGCAAGAAAAGTTCCAGAAAATGTCCAGAGCAACTCACTCATATCTTAGCATTCTCGTATACAGCCCCTCTGGATATTCCAGGAGAAGTTTGGGATTTCAGTGCATGAAAGCAGATAATGGTAGACTTTTGAGAGAATGGATTGAAACACATGGACTGTTACATACAATTCTATCCACTTAGTCCAGCAATCTCTGACTGTATGTGGAACACAAAACATTTGACTTTGTTAAGGGCACAAGA